TGGCTCAGCTGTAGTAAGTGTACGGAAAGACCAAACTAACATCAGTGTAAAGTGTGGCTCAGCTGTAGTAAGTGTATGAAAAGACCAAACTAACATCAGAGTAAAGTTTGGTTTATGTGTAGTAAGTGTTCGAAAAATCATGTTCAGTTTAAATCTGTAACGGGAGTTATAGCCTTCGTAATTCAAGTACCCGCGCACTCTGAAAACTGGGATGAGCCACCTTAAAACAAGAACGTTTGATACCATTACAGTTTCCTTCTTGTCAGTCATTCGAGGGTGATCTTCCTCCCAGCTGACATATGGTATAATATCAACTGCTTCATCAGTCACAAGATCTTGTATGCTCGGCCCTAGACTTTCGTCAAACTTCTCCTCCTGCCAGGAAAAAATATGAAGCTTGTGTTTGGTTAAAATAATAAACACAAAGAGAGTAGATGATGCTGACGTTTACAATGTGGGGTGAGGCGGTGGGCCCCACAGCCCCCTCCCACTGCAATGTCTGTATTGTATGTCATTCTGTCAAGCATTGACCAAAAGGAGCGACTCATATCTAAGTGTGCCTCGTTTTGGCACGCGGAAGTCCGTCACAACATTAGCCATGGCCTCTATTAGGTTACCTTTTCTCTCTTTTCGATGGCGATGAAACTCGTAAACTGCGAGACAATGGAGAACTCTTTGCTAATTGATATGATGTAGTCCTTGCTATCTCTCTTTACCACCTAAAGAATAAAAACATACCCCATCGGTGAGAGATGCAGCACGATGTTACCACTAGTTTACCCATCGCACTTGATGGGACTTAATGTAGTAGAGTGGGTGGGGGATTATTACCCAGAAAGGCATGTCCAATCAGAGTGCAGGATGTTAACGATGATAATATGCATGTACCTCGTGTTTGTTTTGGTCTTTATCTAAGTTGCCTTCCTCCCAGTCCTTGATCAATCCACGTGCAACAAGCTGATGCAGAATCTGAGAACAGGTCAGATAGATGTTTATTAGTAACTAGCGAACACCGTCACGTGACTAAACAATTCATAGCCATAACAATGTGTATAACCAGCATTCGTAACAATGATGATAATGATGAAAAACTCGATGAAGTCAAACTAATGATGAAGTAATGGAAATAATGTTGCTTTAGTTGTCAATCATAGTGATGGTCATGATAGTTGTAGTGGTGGCGATGATGGTGATGATGACGCTGCATAGTCTTAAGAATCAAGTTAGTACAAAGTCACCTTGCCCCTGGTCATACTCAGGTCAGATGTCGATACCATAGTAGATATTTCTCTTCCGTTTACCTCAGCAGTAAGAAACGCCTGAAAAACGAATTGATTTCATAACAGATTAATAATTTTAAACACGTACCAGTTTAGACCAGTGGAATTAATTTGCACTATCTGAAAGGCAAAGTTCTCATTATACATTTTTATTAACCATGTCAGTGGCAGGGCGGTGTCGTGGGTTCCATTTGACCCCCCTTTTATGAGCCAATCCCTTTTTGTAAATCCAATCTTACCTGTGTGCAGTTGGACACCAAGCCATACACGACAAGGCGTGAACCACTGAACAGTGAAACGATCTCGTGTGGAGCCTGTAATATCAAATATAACAAGTATGACTTATCGTCATGAAATTTTAAGCATGATTACTCTGTTGCCATGTCAACACTTCTGTTCTAATCTCATGGCCTTAAAATGAATCTTAAACCTACCTGTATCGGAGGTTTGGCGTAGTTGTCATGTTGTTGCCAGGTAACCGATATTGACGTCAGTCCAGGCTGACCAGCCTTGGAGAGTTGTGCTTTCACCTTTAAAAATAGCAATAAAATAAAGGAAATAATCAACAAGATCAAAATAGTTATATTTAACCCCCCGCCCAATGGGTCGGTTCACGTCAGTCAGTTGTGAGGTCATGAGTTCAGACCTTATCTTTCCTGGTGATCAAATCACAACAAAGGAGGAGGTGCTGTCTTTGTTGGTTAGAAATTCTTCGTTTATTGGTGTCGCGACCAAGTAGGCTGATCGGACAGCACAAAATTCACGCATTGTGATTGGTTCACCAGAAGTCGTCAATTTCGTTCGATGATCGTGTACACATCCTTCATAATAAAGTATTTTTTAAATTTTCTACGAGTAACATAAGTTACCTTTCTTTCCCATTTTGATTTTGTCTTGGAATTGAATAACTCACTCGCACCAGCTCCCACCTGAGCCAAAGCACGCAGCATGTGACGATTACTAGTGGCTCTGATGAACAGCAACACAAATGAATAGACCGTTTTCTCATGAGAATAATATTTGTTTGAGTTGTATCCATATTCATGTGTCTTCTCATGCCCAACGAGTAAACAAAGAATGATATTCTAGGGAATGACACGTGGTTTGAAATGGGAAAACAGTGGATTAGGTCTATTGTTTTCACAAGAAAAATCGTTTTCAATTCCCCTAGAGTAAAGGATTCTAACATGTTTTGTCATCTAACATGGCTTTTATCTTCCCAGTCACTCTAACAACCCCTTGTAAAATAAGTGCATAAAGAGTTCCCAAGAACCAATAATAAAGGCCTACCCGACTCCCAGTGTGAACACACGAGTACTTAGTCTCCCTTGCCTAACCAATGCTAATGTCGTTGATTCTTCTGCCACGTGACCATCTGAGATAATGAATACATTTCTTGGATGGTCAGCGATTGACATGGAAGGGATTAAACTCAATGACTCCAGAGCACGCCATAATTCGGTTCCACCTTTGTGTGCACCGATAGACTGGAGAAAAATAACATATTATTTATTTGTTTGTTTTTAGTGTGTGCGCGGATGGTCAACAACCGTGCTCTACTTTCATAAATAAAGCAAAGTTCTCGTCCAATCAGAGCGCACATACTAGTTGTAACCTCGGGCGGGCGACAAGCAGTAGAACGACTATTTGAGTAATTTGTTTCCTGCTACCTGTGGTAATGCACTGCCAAGTATATTGCTGCACCTTTGACGGATTTGTACTTTTATACATGAATTACTACCATTATCGTTGGAATGCGACCCTCGAAGTTTGATGCCTCGTTCGCCGACTAGCATTTCAACGGCCGTCAATCAAAGAACTGAAATATAAAACAATATTTCGAGGGAAATTTGGGACTGAGGATTACAATCTTTATTTCAGTCTATAATCTCCCTCAAGATATATATATATATATATATATATTTACTATTACAGTTCTTTGATGGATAATGGTAGTAAAAGAAATAGTTCGGCGATCGCTTTAAATGCTAAACCTAATTGGTAAGATGAGCTATCGACGTTATATTTTTCTTCCAACTTCTGTCTTGCAAAGTCAGACTTTTGTTTTTCAAAGTCGGGCTGAATGTTATTTTTCCAAGGAATCATTCGAGCTATGAATCTTCAAAAGTGAAAATACAACAAGAATCACGTCGTATGATAAATCCCGGAAAAAACGGAATATTCCATCACACGTGTGCATGGTTCGAGACCAGTTTGACCACTTGTTAAATCATTTAATAATCACGTGTGCATACTTGGAAACCGGTTTGACTACATGTTGAATCTCGTGATCAGTCAATCAGCCTGTATTTTTTGAATTCTTTGCATTCTTGTGCCAGTCCATAGAGTCGGAGCTGTCCCGGCCAGACTACATACCTGCCGCGCATTATTGGTTAAGATTATGCTTGTGTGCTCCTCTTGTCGCCCGCAAATCACAGTGGAAGTACTCTCAAGACAGGCGTAGTTTGCTTTAGTCATGTTTGTACCCAGATGTAATATATACCGCTAATGAAGATACACTCATTTTACGGGTATGTTCGTACCTTAATGAAGTCTGATGCCACTGAGACTGTGCAGGACGTTTTCTGTTTACTGTTTGTGAACAGTTCTGAATGATCTGTGAAAAACACATATCACATTACACAAACAAAAAGGCAGAAACACAAAACAGACATGCAGACCACTCTTTTTCCACATAAGTCAGTTAATGATGATAGACAGAGAAGAGACTAATCAAAAGACCGACGGACAGACAGACAGACCTTTAATTTATCAATCAAGAATCGGGCACAAACAATTTTATCTTAATAATAAAAAGAAAGACTCACAGCTTCCGAAAACAACGATGTTAAAGAGCCAGTTGTCGGGCAAAAAGTTGATGCACATCTGAAGAATCTTCTTGGCTTCTTTTAGATTGGAACCCTTTAAAAAAGAATACGCAGTGAAAAATGGTCTCCGTTTTGATTTCTGGATTCGGCATCACACACATGCAAAGCTTCTTGCCAATGGGTCTTTCCCTTGATTTTACGGTTTTTCCATTTGCATCAGCCCAGAGGTTATTTCAGGGTTCTATATGTGAGTTACCCTTGCCCTCTTTTTGATTAGCCCAGAAATTGTTTTGGGGTTTGATAAAATTGATGTTTAGTTTAGTATAAAGTAAGTATAGTTTAGTATAAAGTAAACATCAGCATAATGATCTATTTTACTATGATATGACATGTACCTTCATGGAACAGGAAGCATCCAGACAGAACAACACTTCTACTTCCTCTGGTACTTCTGCGTCGAATTCTGGGTAAAATACCAACATCCCTGCCTGAAAATTGTCATTATAAAATATATAATAAAATATACAATAAAA